TAGGTTAGAAAGGTGCAAAAGTGCAGAATCACTCCAGCATCCACTGACTATGAGAATATCGTCAATAGTCTTTTTTTATTTCTGACGACTCGCTATCTATACAGTGATATTCTTCGCAAAAAACTGAGTCGAAAAGTCCCGAACCGGTTTTTCGAGTCATTGCGCTTCATAAAGTAGTTATTATTATTGAAAATTAAGTTGTCCCACGATTACATGGCTTTCAGAGTAAATGTTAAGAGAAAATTCTCTGCGTGTAGTGTGCACGAAGTGAGCCGCGCGCCTTAGCCTGTGCCCACGATGCTAGAACTTGGTCGAAGTTATTCCATAAAAGCTGCAAGTCGATTGGCTACGCATTTCTTGAAACTAGACCAAACTTGGACCAAGTTCTAGTCCACGAACCATCGTGGACACAGGTTTTTAGTGTCCGACGTGTTCGTTTAGAAAGCGATGCCGATCGTTTAATCCTTACACGGAGAGAATTTTCTGTTAAAATTTATCCCGAAAAATATTGTGATCGTGAGACAACGCGACATTTCCAAGAACTTCATACGGGTTCTTTGAAATGTTACTTCCAAAAAATTTTTATTAAGTTCCTCCAAATGCCGCGTTGTCCGATGATCACACAATTTTCAGGATTTTAAGAGAGAATTCTCTCCGTGTATTCAACATAGGTAATAGCTATTTTACGAAGCATGATTCACAAAAAAGTGGTTCGGAACTTTTCGGCTCAGTTTTTCCACGAGGAATACCACTGTATAAATAGTGGACGCGAATTAGTTTACACCCTGCATTTTATCCGCCGTGATGTATCACGTGTTTTCCTTAATGGGCGAAACGGAATATTTCGGGCGAAAGGTGATACGCTCTTCGGACATGCATATACATATATCTCAGGTGCTAACCGGCGCATTCGCGCGCGGCGATCCTCTGGTTACAGCAGCACGTAGCTAAGATACGACAATGGAGAGAACAATGGCGATGTTATACTGCAGTACGAAATTAGATTAGATAGATCTTGGCCGAGTAATGCGACCCCGCCCGCGGGAACGAGCTCCCACAAACGAACGGCACGTCGTTAACGTTACACGATCTTGTACATACCTGGTCGGGACTAATCGCGCAGTTAGTCGCTTTCGGCGCGCGCGACGCCCCGCCGCGACAAAAATGTTTGGCCTCGCGCCGCAATAGGGCGGACTAAATAGGGTGTAAAACGCGATATTAATTAGAGCCGCTAAGCCGCGCGGCCGCCTGGGCGGGTCGCTTTTAGAGATCCCCGGCTTTTTGTTAAACCGGTCCCCCCGGCGTTGCGAAATATGCCCGGCTAATTTCATTAATTACGCGAAAAGTGGAGAAATATGAGATTTTATTCCGCGGACGCGCGTCGCTGATTGCCAGCGGGTGTTATTGCTATAAACGCTCGCGATTCATATCAATTCGATTAATGCACCTCCCGTTTTTTTTAATAATAACGGCAACGAAAATCGAAGGGCTTTGTCAAAATCTCTCTCTCTCTCTCTCTTGCGCGCGCGCGTGCGCTTGCGAACATTTCGCGCGTGTTATTTCTGTCTAATGGAGCACCGCCGCGTGATTGAAAATATCATCGAGAAGATTTGACTTTCGCGAAAGCCCCCGCAGTTCATCAACCCTTTAGGTCTCTCTCCCTTTTATTCCCGGCGTGAAAGACCCGCGTTTCCTTTAATACGAGACCCCGGCAGGCAAATTTCATAAGACGCTCGCCGCGCGCAGCTCGTGAAAGACAGATAATCTTAGCCCGACATAAGGGAATAATCCCGATAAAACTTTCTCCCGGCGAGGAGATGAGCGGCCTTTAAGCGGCCTTCCAGTTGCTCCGGCGCCGTTAACCCGGAAGCATTTTTCACTATCATCATAAAATATTACTCCGTCGAGCGTTCCGCCCCCGGTGCGCGGAGAAAAACCGTCCTCGCGACGTCCATTGGGATCCGCGCGCGTTGAGAAAATAAATTCGTCGTTATCCCGGGCAGGGGGTTTTACCGCGCGACGTTGCGCCGCGACGACGATCGTCGGCGTTGACGATAATATCGTAAATTTCGCCCAACTCCGTTGATTCCCGATAAAGAAATTTCTCGGCCGCGCTCGCGGTCCCGGGCACGCGGACGTGCATTCCTACCCGGAGGATGAGGAACGAAAACGAAAAGCAATTATTTAAATGCATTCTACAGCGCCCGAGCTCTGCACGTTTGCGTTCTCGCGGCTCGATCGAACGGCACTTGCCGCAATTCCCCCTTTTTTTTCGCGTTCACCATCTCCACCCCCGTTTCTCGTACTTCCCATTTGACGATAGAAGGAACGTGACCGAGGGCCGGCCGCGTCTGAAATTCGGTCAGAGAAAAGGGTGCGATTAATCGTGACTCAAAATGGCGCGGATCCGATCAAACAATAGGAAATTAAATTCGAAGATGTGCACTTAAGGTGATGCTGGAGCCTCTCTGTTTTACCGACATTTTTTAATTAAGGATATCTTTTAATTGGCTTTACAGAATTGCAAATTCTTGTACACGATTAAAGTTCGCACAAAAATAAAAGTCAGTCTACTCGACTTTATATCAAAAACGAAAAAAACTAAATATTTTGGCATGTAGAGCTGTCACATG